TCTTAAGGCCTAGTGATTGCCTTATTCATTGCACATATCTTCTTTTAAGAACAAAGAACCAAAACTATCCATCGTGCTTAAGTTGTTTAGAGACACTGCAACAACAAAACACCCTAGCTATGTATTTATTTGGTTTTGGATTAAAAACAAAAACTCCCAGCCCACGAATCCAAGAGGTGGGAAAAACAGATTAAAAAAAAAGATTCTAGCAGCCTAAATCTATACAAAAGGAGATAAATTGGCTTTTTTTTTTTTTTTGTAAGCAGGAAAGGAGAAGTTGTGTTTACTATAAAGGAAATTCAAACAATTTAAAGAGAAGAGAGGAGAGTTCTTCATTCCTCTGTATTTGAAACGCTTATTCTATTTGGAACTTCCTTCTTCCTTTTTTTTAAGCAGTTACACATATACAGAAATTATTTTAACTTAAAGAACATAAAAGACTTGCAGCACAAATACTTTAGCTTCCAACGCCTTAAAAAAATTTGAAAGATTTTTAGCATCTACATATTGGAATATAGCTAGTAAAACAAAAACAAATCAAGACAACTCGTTTACAGAAAGAGTTAAAGTTTCAGTAGGAAATATTTGGAGCTCTTCTAATTTTCATGAGTAAGAGGAGTCTTATTTGAGATCAAAACATTAAGCTAACCAGTTTCCCGACGCCAAGGAGTCTTGTACTCCTCTGCAGTAGTTAGGCAGGATTATAGCTTCCTTTTTAAATCTGAACGGCTAGATAAAACTAGTCTGCTGGCCAAAAAAATTCTTACAGTGCTCATTTTAAGACTCATCTACATTGGAGGTTTACTAAGGAAGTAAGAACGTGAATTTTCAGTGCACCAAGTACTTTGCACCGTCTCTGTAAGTGGACAGTTACTGCACTTCAAGAAAAAGCAAGCCACTTACCAAAAGCGGTTTTACATGAAAGTCTGAACAGGCAGTTACTGAATGGTAGCTGAGAAGGTAAAACTTCCTATCCCTGCTTTCTCCGCAGCTACTTCCCCATATAATTAGTCAGTTAAATCAAGTGAAGTCTTTTAACAGATCCTTTTGCTTGGCAGGAATCTAATTTAAAAACAAAAAACAAAAAAGAATTTATCTTCTTAAATATTTATCCCATTCTCTAGGCATTGTAATTCTCCCAAATCCGTATTTAATAAAGGGCTCTCCTCCATCCAAGGACCTCAGACTGTTTTTAACAATTAAGATGGCTTCACACCTCAGTGAGGAAGTGAACAATCTTCTACACAGCGGGAAAGCACACAAAAATCATAGAAAACTTGACCATGGCTGGAACAGGAAATCTGCGGCAGAGTCATAATAAATTCCTTCCTGTACATACATACACATGCCGAAACAGAAGCTCCAAAAACCAGCTAGAGTAAAAAAAGTTTTAGAAGCCATCACTAACCTGTGAAAAGGATTAGATAAATGATAAACAACAGTTTGGGCAAATAAAACACTGTCCTGTCAGGGTCTGCCTTCATTACCACGGATAGCACAAGTTATTTTGCTTAAGCTTGCTTAGCTGAAGTGAGCACAAGCAACTGGCCTGGGCTACAGTCAAGCCTCTGCCAGCAGCAACATCAGCCGAGTTACGGACTGACAAAGAGTTTTTATATATGGCGCTGTGCGCATCCCTGGCAAACGTCGTTTAACAGCGCCTGCTCTAGCTACCGCAGAAGCGCTGTAATCACGTGGCTATAGTAAATTTTTAACGATGAAGTTGGTTCTTCTCTAAAATAAGGTCAGAATTCATGTCTTTGACGACAATTTCTTTATGATTTCGGCACTGATCATTAGAATAACACTAGAGGAACACGCAACACCAGCCAAAACAACTCCAAAATTTGGAAAGCCTTCAAATACTTGTTTTATTTCTGTAAAATATTTCCTTACCATTTAACTCGGACTCCTCAATTTAAGGGGTCCTGCCCCTGCGTCCTAAATGAGAGCAAGCATCCAGCTCTGTGACATCTAGGGCCAAGAAGAAGGAACCAGCAGCTGAAGCAGCAGCTGTTTTGGCAGACGGACTTCGAGCTGCTCTAGTAGCAATCTGCTAGGGTTATGAGGAGTTTTCCTTCCGACCCCCTGCTCCACTCTGGAATACATTCGCCACACAAATCCAAGATCACTGGAGAGCGTATGGAGCGCTAGATATCTAAACTCGGATTATCTAAAGCCACATAAGCAGAGCTAAGTTGTAACCAACAGGAGAAACATGCAAAATCTGTTCACTGAGGAAGCGGGAGATGATTTCAAGCATTTCATCAGTTCTCATCTTAAAGAGCCCGTGCTCATTCTCTCTTCATTGCCTCTTCAAGAGGAAGAGGAAACCTGCTGATAGAAATGCAGTTTTTGCTAACCTAGCACTAGCAGTAAAAGGTAGGTCCTAACTTATCCCTGTCTCTAATTTAGAAAGGCAGACTTGCATATGCGTCTCCCTTCAGTGCCAGCACCATTTCCTTTACAGAAGGAAACCTGTAAACACACACTGCCTTTCCCGCAGCTGTTTCCTCCAGCCCCTGGGGCCAAAGGAAAACCTGCCAGCAGTGAAGAAGCATAGGCAAGGTCATTACCGGGGGAATTCCCTCCCCAAAGAAAGAAGCACTGGGGCTTACTTAAAGGCTTTCCAAATCGGACCGTACAGAGCATCTTGAAACTTGATCCAATAAGAGGAAAGCGTGCAAAGTTTCCCTCTTAGCTAGCATGGGAACTTTGCCAAAATGAAGGCTCCTAAAGACTTTAACAGTTACTGATCTGCTAATTCAGATTCTTCAGCATAGAAAACTACGCTAATATACTAGCATGCAAATTAAAATAGTACTTAACTATTATTGGCCTAAGCTAATCAAAGAAAAGGGGTCTGGAATTCTCCATTGCCATTCAAACTTCTGCAATTAAGAGAAAATGAGTCAGATTACCGACTCAGTCATAACTAATCACTAAAATACGATACAAAATTAAAGGTTGTCAGCTTGGGGTTTTCACATTTTTCTTCTGCAGGTGGAAAACCTCTGCAGCTGAATGCTGTTTCTGGAACGATATAAAAATCACTTATTTCTTGGACTGAAAGCAAGTATAAGGTGTGCACACTGCGCTGGACAAACTGCAAGTCAACTGAAAAGCTGCAGGGGCTAGAAAGAGTCCCAGGCTTAGCCAGACAGCAGGAGCACAGACCCAAGCCCCTAAAACACAGCTCTCAGTAATGCTCTTAACAAGGGCAAGAACACAGCCCTTGGCCACAGCAGAGCAGGCAGCTGACAGACAAAGCGATGTTCAACTTTTGTACTTTAGGGATTTTTATTTCAGCCACTGAACCTGCCTCACACTGTATTTTTTGCTCAGGAAAAACTACCTGGGGAAACCGAGCTCAGAGCTCCCTAGAGCCTGCCCCAGAAGTCAGGGACTCTCACGGAAGGAGCTTCCTTTAACTGCGCTTGGCTGCCGGGAACAGCAACGCCAAACTGAACCACGCGTTACGGCTGCTTTTGCGAAGGAAAGCCAGGTAAGGCGACTTCATGTTAAGCTGCAAAATAAGTTAAGACACAAAAGAGACAGTCCGCAAAGCTCACATTTTCACCTCTTGACGACTTAGAAGCGGCAAACGCACTATGCTTTAGCGTGAAACTCCAGCATAACCTCAAAATCTATATAGTCCTTGCAGTTATGGCCTTCTAGATAGAATTGGAACACCTTGATTTCCCATTAAAATCAAGGGGAAAGAGCTTCACAGAAGAAATTTGTGAAGTAAATCTGAAATAAAGTAAGACTCATTCTTACATGTGTCTGAATTCTCTTTGACATATCCTACTTTATGAAATGATGCCTAAGTATTAGCACTTCACAGGGTTTTCTGTCTTCTACAACAGACTAGCAAACTTCTGCCTAACAGACCCTTGCTAATGTACAACTGATTAAAATCTAGTTCAGAAGAACCATGCCACCCAGCCAGATATAAAGAGACTTGTTATTCCAAAATTTTGAAATACACTGGTTTTAGTGCCAGAAGAAAAAGTCTATCCAAGCCAATGCTAAGTAAATGGGTTTGTATAAACTGAGATTTATCTCATGCCTTGCCCTAAAGGGAGCAAGAGCTCCTTTCTTAAATTCACTTAACTATTCAATTAGTTACAACATGTTTTCATTGCATTAATCAGTGACTAATGGGAATATTTTGTGCATGTGCGATAACTGGCTCCTTTAAATTATCAGAACCAGTTGCATAGTGCAGTATTTATTTTGGTAAGCTATATTCATTTTGTGCTTTCCAAACTGAAGATGATTCTTCAAAATTTCAAACAAAGTTGAAATATTATGCAAATAGTACCATCTAACTGACTAAAAAGTGTTTGGGGCACGATTTCTAATACTAAACACATTTAAAATTTCTCCTTCCAGTGCAACATCTCTCAGTTCTGGGAATACCCCAGAGCAACCCACAGACTCAAAATCTTTATGCTTCTCCCCTTGAGTAAGTCAAGTAATTTCAGAGCAAATAAAATAATGTCCATGTTAAACTGTCCCTCATAAGGTGTGTACTGGTGTATTGATGGAATCAAGACAGAACTACTTAGCCAATTCCTGGTGCTTACTGCGCATTATCTCTTAAAAGCAAAAACATCTTTTCCCAAAACTGTAAGGTAAGGTAAATTCAAATGTAAAATATAAAAGTCTGCAATTACTATATTACTCAAAGGGGAAAAAAAAAGGAATTTTCAGATGTGCAAGTTATTCAGACACTAAAATGTTGACAAGGATATTGCCGTCAAACTGGCAAATGCAAATAAAAGCGATGTTTGCAAAGCACCTTTAACTAGCACAGAAAGAGTTAACAGGGGGCTGCAGCAGCACGCCTGCAAGGTATAGTCCCAGCAGGCACATTATCAGATTAAAGGAAGGCAAACAAACCGAACTGGAGCCAGTCTTAGCAAGTCCAACCTCTCCTTCCTGTGATGTCATGCTACAAATTGAGGGAGCGCTTTTTTCGCCCGCTTCAGAATGAGCCGCCACGCTCGCTCGCTCGCTCGACCGGCAGCGCTCGAGGAGAAGGGCTATATCCTGCAAGAACAAACACGCTCTGGAATTTTATTCCCGGGCTTTCCACCCCGTGGGCTGAGCAAAGAGCTAAGCTGAAGAGCTCGTTTTGCAGCAAGAAGGCTGAGAGAGCAATGGAAGCGCCTACAGCTCCCAGAGCCCAGGAAATCGTTCTCTAAAGCACACGCTCCCAGTCACTTATACAGCTTTGGACGGACAAGACTTCTCAACATCGTGATTCGCAGCCAAGAACAAGGCAGAAAGTTCTACAGCAGCTTCATCAATTTGAGGAAGAAAAAAAAAAAAAAGGAACTAAGCAAGCTTCAGGATGACCTCATCTGCCACAAGTAATATGTCTTTTATTTTCCAAGACTGGCTATGTGATTACAGTAGCATCTGGGAGAAAAGAATGATCTCCTGGTGATTACAGGAGATGTACCTGGCTACTACAAAGCTTGTGTTTCTTCTCAGAAGCTTAAAAGTGAAACAAAAAATTATCAAAGCACAGGGGTCAAATACATCTGCAAGTCTTCCTGGAATTTAAAAAGTTACAATAAAGACACCGGAGAAAGCTACAAAGTCACAGGAATTCAGACTTTTATTTTACACAGATCATTATGATGGTAAGCTCTAACTGTTCCACTGAGGACTCCTTTAAATATACTTTATATGGGTATATATTCAGTATGGTATTTGTTCTTGGCCTCATAGCCAACTGTGTTGCTATCTACATTTTTACTTTTACATTAAAAGTGCGAAATGAGACTACAACTTACATGCTTAATTTAGCAATATCTGATCTGCTCTTTGTGTTTACATTACCCTTCAGGATTTATTACTTCGTAGTAAGAAACTGGCCATTTGGAGACATTCTTTGCAAGATTTCAGTCACGCTGTTTTATACAAACATGTATGGAAGCATTTTATTTTTGACTTGCATAAGCGTAGATCGCTTTTTGGCTATAGTACACCCCTTTCAGTCTAAGACGCTGCGAACCAAAAGAAATGCAAAAATTGTCTGTGCTGCAGTTTGGATAACTGTGTTAGCAGGAAGCACGCCAGCAAGCTTTTTTCAATCTACAAACCGCCGTAATAACACAGAACAAAGAACATGTTTTGAAAACTTTTCTGAGGCCACATGGAAAACCTACCTATCCAGGATTGTTATCTTCATTGAAATTGTTGGATTTTTTATTCCACTGATCTTGAACGTGACCTGCTCCACTATGGTCCTGCGGACTTTGAATAAACCACTTACATTAAGTCGGAATAAATTAAACAAGAAAAAGGTACTTAAAATGATTTTTGTCCATTTGGTGATATTCTGCTTCTGTTTTGTGCCATATAACATTACGTTAATACTTTACTCTCTTATGAGAACGCAGACGTTGATTAATTGCTCAGTGGTAACTGCAGTCAGGACGATGTATCCCATCACTCTATGCATTGCTGTTTCAAACTGTTGTTTTGACCCTATAGTGTATTACTTCACATCTGATACAATTCAAAATTCGATAAAAAAGAACAGGTCCACTAGAACACGCGATTTCAGATTCTCTGAAATGCAAGTTTCAGAAAACTTCATTCAGCACAGCCTTCAGACCATAAAAATGAAAATATTTGACAGTGACTCAACAATATAAACTGTATTAAAAAGACAATTGGGACTAAACTGGAATTAGAAGCCTGCACACTTCTTCAGCTGTGAAAATATATTCTGACATGTTAACTCTTCTTTCACATCAGAAAAGTTTATGACAAAACTGTAAATAGCAGTTGTAAAAGTGTTAACAGTATACAGAAGAAAAATATTGTAAGAATTCATGTCAAATGTCTTTTTTGACTGGCTGCATGCCAAAAACACCGAACCTTTGGTTTCGGCTTAGGTTGTCAAAGTCCACAGGTTATTTGTCAAGTCAAAACCAAATAAAAAAAGCTCTTTCCCAAAGTTAAAATAAATACGCCTTTTTAATCGTTGCATCTGTTTCCACACTGTTGTGGACGAGGGCGAAACTGGCTCTCGCTGCAGAACCCAGTCGCTGAGGAAAACGGCCCCATAATGATCCTATCGCCGCAGCCAGGGTGCCTGCTTCAGAGCTCCCTCTTCTCTCGCACTCCTACTCCTCCTTCCTCCTCCCTTTCTCCCTGCGTCTTCCTCCTTACGGCCATTACGTTTACAGGAGGTTGAGATGTAACACGCTACGAGAACTTACCTTCCCCCACACCTCCCTGTCCCCAGCTAAGCGTGTTACACGAGTGATAAGTTACCTTGCTGTCACCTTTCCCAACCAACGGGTTAGCTATCGCCTCCCTCACTGACATCCCTCTGCTCCGCAGGTAGAGGCCACGCTTTCTCCCGGCTCATCTCAGTGAGTCACACGTCTACTCAGACTCAAGAGCAACTATTCTCAGCGCGCTTAGCTTTAAAGACCATCGTTTCTGCTTCAAATCTGAAAAAGGGCTACTCCGTTTGTGTTGCTTATCTGCTTAAACATATTCTCTTGCCACAAGCCTCATTCCCTATGCCCCATAAAGAAATTAAATCTTCTCGCAGTTTAGCGCGCCTGGAAACAACTCTGAAAAACTGGTTTTTCTTCTCATCTGTCTCAGGTGTCTGTGTAATTATAACAAAATAACCTCTGATGAGTGAAGTTAGTGCTTTAGGTACTGTAACACTTTAATAAACTCTTTTCTGAGAAGTTCTTAAACTCAACAGAGGTCAAACAATGTCCTCCGAGTAAGACAATTGGATCTCAAAGGAGTAGTTTCTTGTCAGAAAAACATGACCTTTGTTAACTACCAATAAGCACATGCACCAACCAGAATATCTATGTTTATGGGACACAAAATACTTCCCTAAAAAAATTACAAGACATGGTAATTTTTATAATGAACCTTCCTCTCAATATTTGTGTCACAGAAGTATTTGGATTTTTAACTTTAGCATTTAAAATTGCAAATGCAAGTTTGTCAACTTCAGAAAGTATAAAAATTAATTACTTGAAGCTAAGTGCCAGCAAAATTGATGTAGACATCTTGAAAAGTCAAAACTGTGTGAAAAGCAAAATCTACATATATACACAGGAGTAACAATGATATATTCTTGTCTGTATTTTAAAGAGTCCTTCTACGTATATATTTCTCAGCTATAGTGTATATTTTCTTTAAAATAAATTAAGGATCACTGTAAAATTAAGTAAGTATTTAAAAGGTAAAATTAAGCAGCAACAGTTGGTTCCCCCCACCCAAATGATAATGGGGACAAGAGAAAAACTGAACTAAAACAAATTTGCTTTTTGGACTTAGGGCATTTGGTTGTGACACACAGATACGCTACTACTAAACGAAGCACTTTTATTTCAGGCTAGTATGCAGAAGTACGAATTAATTTGGAGAAAATGCATATTGGGATATCAGAGTGTATGTTACAGTAGCTGACTCGGTTTACCTCCCTCTGTAAAGCTTTTGCTTAATTTTTAGAACTCAATTGTATATTAACAGCTAGGATTGAAAAAACGGAGTTACTCACAAAAACTACTACAATTTCATATTGATAGACTTAAAACACTGTTAAATTAAAAATTCATTCTGCACAAACCTAACTTATGAAAGAAAAATGCAAGTAACTTGAACTAAACTATGACAAAGATGGCATAGATTTAAACATCTAATATCCAAAAAATGATCAATGACCACAATGATCTTAGCTGGCAATCCTAAACTCCGATTCATATCTGACTTCAGAAAAATGTAGGAAAAAACCATTGCAAGTACAACTTCTATATGTTTTCCATATTAAAAAAAGTACAAATTTGAAGTTCAAAAACTTGCTGCAGAATTCTGTTCTGTTTTGAAATTAAATGACTCCCCTTGCTTTCCCCAAAAAACTTTGAGAATAAAAAAAAAAAGCAGGACTTCTTTTCCTGAGCACGCCAACGCTGTTACTTGGTTGAGTGAGAACTTGTTCAACCATACCAGTGTATTACACGAGCAAATGCCACTGCAGCCTCACCCTAGTCAAGGGAAACTGCTCTTTCTGAGATTATGAAACTACCAAAAAAAAAAAAAAAAACCAAAACCAAAAACACCCCCTGACTTAAAAGCCGAGCAAGCAGATGAAGGCACATGCCCTGTAAATCACACCTTCCTTAGTTCAAATTCATTCTTTGTAAAGTACTCTATTTTCCTCATCTACAAAGCGCAGATACTGCCGATTTACCACAAAAATAGAAGTAGTGAGCATTAATGAGCAGTTCCAAAAGATAAGGGGAAAAAAGAGCAAACTTGCTATCAAACTTGTCTGATTTACACCACTCTAACCTTACTTGACATCAGAAAAGCAAAAGACTTCAATTTGAAATTAAAACTTTTTGGGCAAGGAACATCCTTCTTTCAGGATCTGAATAGCAAGCACCCTGTAAATGATGGTCCTACATCTCTTAAATGTTCCAAGTACTACCCACAATTAAAATAAATAGATTACCCAACCAACAGATGAGATACTGCTTGAAATATCTTTCTTGCTTGAAGAAAGCAGTGCTTGATACTACCAAATCTTAGCAAAACACAGTAGTTTTACAGAGCTCTGTTCATTTTGACATAAGTGCAGTTATACATTAGTACACAGGATAGCTATGACATCATTCTAATATATGACTGCTAAAGTCCTCCAAATTAAAACGCTTTTATGATCAAGTATAAGCATCTACATGAGATGAATGTATTTAGCAATAACCTATGAAAAATTTCCAAAATGACGTGAGAGAACCTCTGTTCAGAAATAGCCAGTTATAAAGAGAAAAATATGGAAGATCAACCATTTGTAGCAATTATCTTGTCTGCAGTAAGCAAGTTAAATAGTTTGTATTTTAATTAATATTTTCATAATCAGCATTTTAACAACAAATGCTATAATGTGGTACCTCACTGGATGCATGCATACAATGCTGAGAAAAAACAGACCTAACCATTATCTAAGGGGAGTGTCCGCTTTAAAAACTCTGTTCAGATAATCTGAGCTTGAGATCTGACTTTTGAACCTATTTAGAAACCTTCTAGGGTCAAAGGAGCTCTAGATGCACGCACAAGTATACCCAAGTGCGTGCAGTCACTGGATCAAGAATCTATTCAAAGGAATTTGGTACAAAGGGACTTTATATACTGTTTTTAAATTCAATTTGAAATTTGAATTTCTGGCTTTCTTCGGAACAGAATGCAAGGCAAAATTTGCTTCATTTGATATAGGTCTTTGAAATTTACAGAAATACAGTACCAATACCAAGCCACATATGTATGTTGTTCAATTAACAGTGCTTATAAAACCACAGTAGATATTTCAGAGAGGTTAAAAATCCTTATCTAGAATCAACATCTGAACTTTAATTTCTTAAGAAAGTAACTTCAGTCATCAAAACAAAGATTGAAAAGGAACTCAGGAGATGAGGTAGAAGATACAAGTGGCTGCAGTGGATCAGACCCCAAACGTTCACCTAACCTACAGGCCCAACAGTGTGGAGGTGAGAGGTTCAGTAATACTTCCATGAACTTATCCTGCCTCCTTCTAAACTCAAGCTTTTAATATCCATATCGTTCTGCAGTAAGAAGTTCAAGCTCTGCAGGAAAAAAAAAAACCTAGCCTCATTTGTTTCAAATCTACTCATTTCATTATTGTCCCCTCCTTTCTTTTGGAAGGGCAAATGAGCTTCTGATTGCCAGAGTTTTCACGTCACTCTCAGTTCTATCGTCCTCCATCCTCTGTATCAAATTACACAATGTTTTTCATTTGCCACTTTAACCAGCATCACAGCCAAAGACAAGATTTTCAGAATTAGATTAAGAATTCAGGTAAAATTCCAGCGAACCCAATGAGGTTTGTATTTTGAGACTGGTAAATTTGAAAATCCCACTCAAAGATATTAATTCATTGCATTATTTATTCTTCCAAGTTATTTTCTAGGAGTTTGACAGACTAAGTGCATTTCATTCATACTTTTGCAGCAGTAAGTATATCTTACGATTCATATGCCTGCGTAGACCTGTAAATCCTCACAAGCTCCCTTTTTCGCCAAATTCTGTTATATGTGCTGTACCTCAGGGCAGGTGGCATTTGAGATTACTGACAAAATGCAAGAGGATACACTTCAAAAGCTAGGGCAAAATATAAATCAAAAAACTGAAGTTAAAAATATAGAAGCTAGAAATGTCTGGGCTGAATTAGTTATCAAATTATCAAAGCACTGAAAAAATAAATATAAGTACAGTTGACAACTGCTGACCCAGAACATTTTCAGAGCTGGCTCAGTCAAGTTAATTTAAGATGAATGAAAATTTAGAAAGCCGCACTTGTACAGCCTCATATTTCTGGGAGAAACTAGATAACTATACGAAATAAAAGTATCATATTGACACCACGGATAAGTTTGTTTTTATCTTCCTTTGACATTGAAGCTACCTGTAGCCTTTCACATTTTTCATTCCTCTCCCACCTCCCAGTTCCTGTTATACAAATGCTTATTAAACCCACTGCCTTTCCTGTTAGAAAACTAGACTTATCACAATATTAAAAAAAAAAAAAGGCAAGAAAAAACACACCCCTGCGTACATCATTTGGTTTACTATAAAGCTTACCATTTTTGCTGGAAAAACTGAAAATTCACAAACTGAAAACTCAGATTTAAAATTATTTTTTCTGTTTAAAAAGCAGTGTACAATCAGCTCTAGTTGCAACAAAGCTAAAAGCTGTCCAGCACCAAGAAGGGTAAGATTGTTTTCCAGTTTAAACATGAAAAATCAATCCTTAAGCAATAACAAAGGAAAGTCTCTAACTATACATTCCTAGCTTTTTAATGAAGTGACAAATCTTTAAAAGGATAATTTTCCACATGCTTAACTAAGTTCCCCCCACCCCCATCTTTTTTTAAACAGCAAGTTGCTACCTTAAAGACAAAAGAAATCCTTAAATGACAATGCTAGTTACAG